TGCTAAAATACATGAATATACAACGATGTTGGAAAAAATGAAAGAAAAATTATTAATTCAAGAAGCAGAAATGAAAATTCTTAAAGAAAAAATACAAGACAATACAGAAATAATTAAATTGAACTATGAATTAGAAAATAAAAACACTGAGTTATTAGAAATATATAAAGAACTTCAATCTTGTAAATCTACTATTTCTGATCTTAATAATAAACTTCAAACAAATAGTTCTAATATTGGTTTACTTTATGAAGAAAAAAATAATTTAATTAGAAATATTTTAAATTATAAAATTTTTGCTAAAAAATTAAAAGAAGATAACATGTATATTAAAAGTAATACAATGAAATATTTTACAGAAGTTAATAATGAAATTTCTATCTTAAAAGATGAATTTGATGTTTTTTTAAAAACAAATAATATTATTCAAAATAATGTAGATTTTCAAATTAAATTGAAAGAATTTGAAGAACTTAAACAAAAATATGATCAATTACAAGTTGAGTTAAAAGATACTATATGTTTAAAATCTAATTTAGAAATAAATTTGGAAAAATATAATAAGCAATTAAATGATATGTCCATAAAATTGGCGCAACAATGCGAAATTGATTTAAAAAATCGTAAACTTATAGCTGAAATTGATAATCTTAATTTCAAATTATATGATTTAAGAAATTTACCCGAACAAGTAAAATTATTAATGATAGAATCTAAATCTTTACAAGAAGAACTCAATAATGTCAATACTATGAATCAATTACTTTCAAATGAAATATATGATTTAAAAAATCAACTTGAAGAAGCAAATAATACTGTAAAAAAATTAGAAGAATTGGAACAGAAATATATAGAAACAACAAAAACAATTACATCATTAAAATCTGAAAATTCTAATTGCAATAAATTAGAAGAAAAAATAAATATTTTACAATTAGAAATTAAAGTTTTACATGAAAATTTACTTGAAAAAGAAGTAAAAATAAAAACTTTAAATGAGGAATTGGAAAATAAAGAAAGTTACTTAATTAATTTAAGAATTAAAGATGAAAATCATGTAAAATTAATTGAAAAACATGAAAAAGAAATTATTGAACTTACAAATTCAAATAAAACTATACAACAAACAATACAAAACAAACTTTGTCAATTAAAAAAATTAAAAACTATCAAACAACAACAAGATATTACAATTCAAAATTTAAATGATGAAATTAATGAAATAAAAACTTTAAATATTAAATTATTAGAACAGGTAAAAACATCAGAAAATGAAATGAATATATTAAAATCTGAAAACTGCCAAATAGAAATATTAAAAAATAATAATGCAACTATTAGTTTTGAATTAGAACAATTAAAATTAATTCAAAATGAAATGAATTTAGAAAATAAAAATTTAAAAGATAAACAAAATGAATTTTTAAAGTATAATCAAGAATTAAGTGAATCTAATGAAAAATTAAAAGAAAAAATTACAAACTACGAAAAATACAATCAACAATTACAAAATGAAAATAAACAATTAGAAAAAGAAATTGAATCATATAAAATTTCCTTAAATGAACAAAAACAGCACATAGAAAACTTAAAAAATCAAATTGTATTATTAAATTCAGAATTACAGTGTAATAGTGAAAAATTGAATTTCCAAATCAAGGAATTAACATCACATAAAAAAAAAATAGAAGAGACTAAAGAATATCTAACAAAAGAAAATGAAAATTTACATAATGAAATAGATAAGTTAAATTTAGCTTTAAAAAATAATAATGAAATAGAAGAAAAAAATAAAGAACTTTTAATGAAATTAGAATTTTTAAACAAAGAAGTTAAAAGATTAAAAGTTGTTGAAGAAGAAATTAATAATTTAAATTTAGAAATAAATAATTTAAATATAGTAAAAGCTAATTTAGAAGAGATACAATCTCAAAATAATGGATTAATTATTGAAAACTTATCTTTAAAAAATAAAACTACAGAATTAGAAAATGTAAATACAAAACTTCAATCTTATGTAAATAATTTAGAATCTAAGATTTCCAATTTAAATCAAATAGAATGTGAAAATAATGAATTAAAAAATAAACTTGATACATTAAAAACTACAAATAAAGAATTATTATTTGAAATACAAAATGAAAATATAGAAAAGGAACAATTAACTAAAGAAATAGATGAATTAAAAATTACAGTAGATGAAAAAGTAGCAGAATTAAAATTATTAGATACAAAAAATATGGAATTATTAAAAGAAATTGAGAGATTAAAATTTTCAACCACTGAAGAAGAAACAATGGCAGAAACAAAAAAATCGACAAATACAGTCAAACATTTAAAAGAAACAATTACTGAGTTACAAAATGAAATAAAAGTTCTTAGAGAATCAAATATTGCATTGAATGAAGAAATAAAAAATATAAATAGTAATAATATTGTAGATGATTTTTCTATACAAAAAAATGATAAATTAGAAGAAGAAAATAAAAAATTAGAAGCACAACTAGATGAAGCATTAATAACATTCCAAGCAAAAGAATTAGAAATGCAATTTATTAGTAATGAATTGAAAAATCAAGTAGATAATTTGAAACAAGAATTAAAAATAAATGAAGAAGAACAAAGTATGAGATTAAAACAATTGGTTAAGGAATTTCAAGCACAATTGCATGATAAGGAAGAAGAGCTACATGCTGCCTTAGAAAAACGATTTGGTAAATTAAAAATTTATTCTATAAATTTATTCTATATTCAAATTTATTATTATTTTTTTAGTTATCTGATTAATAAGAATTCTATAATGATGAATTCTATAATAAGAATTCAATAAATTATATTATATTCTATAATTAATATAATTATAATTATATAAAATTATTAATATATAATTATTAAATTATATAATTTATATAATTATATAAATATTATATTATTTTATTATATTATAAGTAATAACATAAATAATAATATATTTTTTATTTAGATCGTCAACAAAATTATGAATCAAATCTCATACAACAATATAAAGAACAATTAAAAGATTTTCAAATAGAATTGACAGCCAAATCTGAACAAATTGAGAATTTAATTTTAGAAAATAAAAATTTGATGTCACAAAAAGCAAAAGATATAAATCAATTAATGGAAAAGATTACAATAATGAAGAAAGATCATACAGATGAAATTAAAGAAATAGAAAAAAAATGGAAATCAGTTATACAACAAAAAACTAATATATTGGAAGCAAAACATGAGGAAGAAATTAATGAATTAACGCGAGAATGGCGAAATGAAAGAAGGGTTAGTTGAAATAAAATATTTTATAATATCATATTTTATATTTTATATTTCATTCACTTTAAAATTTCTTTTGTTTTCTGTTATTTATTTCAATTTCATATATTACTTTTTTAATTTTCTATAACTTTATTTATATTTTTATTTACTTTTATTTATTTTTTCCAGCCTGATATACAAAATGATTTAGTTGATAAGGTAAAATCTTTTACTCAATTTGTTCAACTCAATTAATTATATTTTAATATTGTATTTTTTTTAATATGTATAATTAAATGTTAATTAAAATAATGAGCAAAAAATTAATTAAAAATGAAATTTTATTTAGGAATTAGAGAGCACTTCACGAGTTGCAATGGCAGCTGTACAATCAAATACTGGTTCTTTCCACACACTTCAACAAACTCTAACAGCTCAAAGACGAGAATTAGCCGAACTTCGAAAATTAATGAAGTTAAGACATGATACATTAGAAGATTCAACAGAAATTGAATATCTCAGAAACATTTTATTTGAATATATGATGGGAAGAGAAACAATGGTGCTTGCTAGAGTGATTGCTGCAGTTGTTAAATTTGATCAAGAACAAACAGCAAAAATACTTAAAAAAGAAGAAGATAAGATGACATTGGTAACAAATTTTTAAAATAAATCAATTTAAAAAACATTAATCTAAAAATTTATTTTTTTAAAAAATATATTAAATTCAATAAAAATAAATTATTTTTAATAAATATTTAAATAAAACTAATTTTTTAAAAAATTTTTTATCAATTTTAATGAATATTACATATTCTAGAAATTTGAAAACTTTCATAAATATCTTATATAATGTTTTCTTATTTTAAATTTTAATTTTTTGATGTTTCAGCTTGGTTCTCTAGGTCTCACATAGTGCAAAATACTATATC